AATCAGAACTATCCCTATGGAAATGTATCTCTAAATATATAATTTGTATCTACGTAAATGTCTAAAAAGCATATCATTTTTAGGAATAAGAATGTGAAAAATATCATTGACCAGAAAAGTTAATGGGAGAGAGGCACATGGACACTGTTAGTTGATATTTGACATGAGAATTGTACATAGAAACTTATGAGAAGCTTCATTCCATTGTTATCAACCCTGCAATTGTGGGATAGTAGAAAGTTTCCTGAAAGGAGCTGTGTTTGAGCTGAGTTTGCTTAATGGAAGGTAATTAAAAAAAGGATGATTGGGTGAAGCATGGAGAATATGTGAGAGCTCCATGCTTGGTGAGGGTGGGAAGACTGAGTACAATTAGGGAGAAGTATAAATAATTTAATATTAATAAAAGAAGGAATTACAACATATAGAAATACAGAGAGGGATTAGATTATAAAGAAGTCTGTATGAACTGTTAAGGAACTCAAGGGACAACTCAGATTTTACTGTATGTATGGAACAAAAAAGATATTAAGCGAATGATAAGATCTAGTTGGCTTAAATGGCTAACATCAGTACCAATGATGAAAAAATGGGTTTTAAAGAAAATCAGATGGCCAGTTGTAACATTAGTTCAGCAGAGAGCTGTACATGGTCCTACTCGGAGAAGTTTGGTAGAGATGGAGTCAGCACAAGGAAAGAACTTCTCAAAGATATATTGATGAGGTATAATTGGACAAGCATTTGACTGATTGGCTGGACGGATGCAGCTAAGGGTGAAGGAGCAAGAAATGGGAAGAGCTAGACAACCCAGGTTCCTGACTTGGACAAGTATGGGGATGATGATTCCAGTGTGTGAAACAGGGAACAGAAAAGCTAAAGCACATTTCAGGGAAGGATGCTTAGAACATGCTGTGATCAAGATACCAAGACCACACTAAGGTGATGACCCACAAGCAGAGGGGACAGGAGAAAATGGACTTTTGTATCTTTCACTGATATCAGATAGTAAACTATGAACTAACCTGAATTTTCTTATAAATGAATTCATAGTGTTAATTTGTTCCTAAGATAACATGGACACTATTCAATATTCAGTGAAATATTTTTAACAAACCTTAGCTTGACTTTTTTATTTTCCATAAAGTATTAGCATCTAACTGGTATCAAACTCCCAAACTGTAAAATTTAAAATATATGTAGATAAAGCCCCATCCAAAAGAGAAGAGATTAAATAGGTAAACTCTGGAAGTAATTTATTAGTTTAGCACTACTATTTAAGACGCTTAAACTTTCTTTTACTTCTTAAGGGAAATATGTTTGAGGAAATAATGTGTGTCATATACGTTTATTTCTAAGATATCAGTTCTATAGCAGTAAAAGTATAGTATAGGATCAAAGTGTCCTCCTTGCTGAGGAAAGTCATTTTTGGAATGATAATTGCCCTTTTCTAAATCTCAGTCTCTTTTGGTCACTGCTCAGATTCTGTGTAAAGGACTTGTTGTACCTTTCCCCTCCTCCCCATCCTCCCCACCCCATTCCATTTCCTCTTTTGAGACCCTTGGTGCCTAACCGGACCCTTCTCAACTCTTTCCAATGCCAATGGCAAAGCAGATAAACTGCACAAGGCAGCGATGAAACAGATAAGGGAAAGTTCCCCAAGACTTCAAGGAGCCCCCTATTCTCCCACCAGCTGCCTTTGACTGTCCCCCCCACCCGTGGTAAATTCCTTCCTTAACCACATCAAAACCCGAGTTCTAAACGCACTGGGCATGCAGTCTCTTCTCAAGAACAGACTGTTGCCAACCTCTTTGCTTCAAAGAAAGCAACCTGTCTCTGTTGGTGTCAGTCTCTGTCTCCTTTTTCAGTCTCTCATTTCTGGGAGTATGAAAGGCCAGAACCCCGAGCTATTCCATACCTAACACTATGTAACCCAATAAACTACGTGGAAGAGTGGGCATTGTGGTACAGCACATTAAGCCATCACTTGGGATGACTGCATCCCATATTGAAGTGCTTGGGATTGAATCTTACCTCTGATTCACATCCCAGCTTCCTGCAGCTTCCTGATAATGTGCCTGAGAAGCTGCAGATGATGGCTCAAGTTCTTGGATCCCTGCCACCCACATAAGAAACCTGGATGGTATTGCTGGCTCCTGACATAGCCCTGGCTGTTGTGGGTATTTGGAGAGTGAACCAGCTAATGGATGATGTCTCTCTCTCTTTGTCTTTCTGTCTCTGTCTCTCTCTCTCTGTCTCTCTCTCTCTGTATGTGTGTATGTGTGTCTGTGTGTGTGTCATTTTTGTCTTGCAAATGAATCAGTAAACAAAACTTAAAAAAAAAAACCACATTGAGGGAGCAGGAACAATGAATCATGTGCATAAGCTCAATGAAGAGAGAAATAAGACATCTCAAGTATCACCTTGTCAATACTCACTTGGCACTGAAAAAGTTACACCCCTCCCTGATCCTCACTTCCTTTTCTCTGCAATAAATGAGTTGGTTGACTAGTTGATAAAATGCCTTCCAGGCTATCATAGTCGATGTTTCTCTCATCTCATCTGCCTCTAAGAAGTCTTCATAGTTCTTAGTTTTTCTAAGGAGCGTTGTGACTCAGAGCTTGCCAGTCTGGAACATAAAGATGAACCTTTACTGGAGGCTAACATTTTCACTGTGAAGCTATGCTAGAAAAAATGGGTGGTGCCTTACCAACACCCAGGATCCCAGGCAGCTTTTCCTCCCTGCAGCATCTGATTTTCCTCTGATAAAATAAAAATGGAACTCTTGCTTTTATGTTAAAGATCTTTCTCCTATTCCAAAAGAATGGTGGTAGTTGCAATGACATTTCATTATTTTCCTGGATGGTTATCTGAGGAAGACTGTGTTAAATGTATGTAGTTCAGGATTTGATAATTTTTCTCCTTAGCAGTGTTTAAAGCATCATATTATTTAGGATCTGCTGACCGACCTCAATGATGCATCCTTTTTAGGATACTATTTTTTTTTCATTTTTAATCAGTTTTACTTTGCCTCTCAATTTTTAAAAATTTAAATTTATTTTTAATATTAATAAAAACAGATTTCATGTGTTTCAAACACTTCTAAGAACATAATAATATTTCTCTCCTTAACTCTTTTCCTCCCTCTTTCCTTTCTTTTTTCTTTCAATTTTTGCAATAACATACTTTCAATTTATTTTTAATCACAGTCATAATATGTCCAACTAAATATTGTGTTCTGCAAGCAAAAAGTAGAAAGACCACTGTTCCACAGAAGTATAGACAAGGGCTATAAACGATAATCAAACTGTATGATGTCAATTTCACTCTTATACATTGAGGATTTTTTTTTTTTTTTGGTATTCTACATGTTTGTTACCACTAAGCCAAGAAAATATGTGATATTTGTCTTTTTGGATCTGGGTTATTTCACTGAACATAAAGGTCTCCAGTTGCATCCATTATATTGCAAAACTGGATTTTATTCTTTTTATGTCTGAGTTGAATTTCATCATGTATATAAACCACATTTTTTAGTCTAGTCATCAGTTGATGGACATCTGGGTTGATTCCATATTTTATCTATTGTGAATTGAGCTGCTATAAATACAGAAGTACAGATAACTTTTTCATATGGTGATTTCATTTCCTTTGGGTAAATTCCCAGGAGTGAGATGGCTGGGTCCCATGGTAGATCTATTTTTAGTTTCTGAGGAATCTCCATACTGTCTGCCATAATGGTTGTACTAGATTACATTGCCACTAACAGTGTATTAGGGATTCTTTTTCTCCACTCTGTTGCCAGTGTTGTTGTTTTTTGATAGCCATTCTAACTGGGGTGAGATGAAACCTCATTGTGGTTCTTATTTGCATTTCCCTGATAGCTAGTGATGGCCATTTGTATTTCATGATTTGAAAAGTGCCTGTTCACATCCTTTGGCCATTTCTTTTTTTTAAGATCTATTTTATTTATTTGAAAGGGTTACAGAGAGAGAGGTTGAGATAGAGAGGTCATCCATCTACTGGTTCAATCCCCAAATGGCCACAACAGCTGGAGCTGAGCCCATCTGAAGGTAGGAGCCAGGAGCTTCTTCTGATTCTCCCACATGGTGGTGCAGGGACCTGAGGGCTTGGGCCATCCTCCTCTGCTTTTCCAGGTACATTAGCAGGGAGCTGGATCAGAAGTGGGACAACCAGAACTAGGACATCCCACATGGGATGCTACCATTGCAAGCCAGAGCTTTAACCAGTTGTGCCACAGCGCCACCCCCACACCCCCACCTTTCACCATTTCTTTTTCTTTTTCTTTTTTCTTTTTCTTTTTCTTTTCTTTTTTCTTTTTTTTTTTTTTTGACAGGCAGAGTGAACAGTGAGAGAGACAGAGAGAAAGGTCTTCCTTTGCCCTTGGTTCACCCTCCAATGGCCGCCGCGGCCAGTGCGCTGTGACCAGCACACCGCGCTGATCCGATGGCAGGAGCCAGGTGCTTCTCCTGGTCTCCCATGGGATGCAGGGCCCAAGGACTTAGGCCATCCTCCACTGCACTCCCTGGCCACAGCAGAGAGCTGGCTTGGAAGAGGGGCAACCGGGACAGAATCCGGCGCCCCAACCGGGACTAGAACCCGTGTGCTGGCGCCGCAAGGCGGAGGATTAACCTAGTGAGCTGTGGAGCCAGCCCTTTCACCATTTCTTAATTGGATTGTCTGTTTTGTTATTATGAAGTTTCTTGAGTCTCTCTCTCTCTCTCTCTCTCTCTCTCTCTCTGTGTGTGTGTGTATACTGTATACTAATTCTTTATCAGATGCATAGTTTACAAATATTTTCTCTCATCTGTTGGTTATCTCTTCACTTTATTGAGTGTTTGTTTGGGTCTGCATAAGATTCTTTACTTGATGTAATCCAATTTTTCTATTTTCGCATTTTATATTGCCTGTACTTCTGGGGTCTTATTGCCTATCTCAATGTCTTATGGTGTTTCCCCTATATTTTCCTCTAGTAATTTGGTGGTTAAAATATGGACTGCTTCACTAATTTGCATGTCATCCTTGTATAGGGGCCATGCTAAACATCTTTGTATTATTCCAGTTTTAGTATATGTGCTGCCAAAGCAAGCATGAGGATACTATGACTTTAAATAAGAAAGAATCCAAACTTATATAGTGGTTCCTAAAAATCTGTCATTTATTTTCTATCACCTTACTCTTTGCCATACATATTCAAATACCACATTGAATCTTGTTAATGTTTTCTTTAGGCCATTTCACTTTTAATTTTATACAAGTTATATAACTGGAAAATTGGTATCACTTGCTTCTTGAATATATCATAGTTTGAGATTTTATTCTACTTGTAGGATAACAAGTTAGCCTATGCTATTTCTTGGTTGTTGGCAGAAGACACAAGATTCTTGGGTCAGAAACAAAGAACTTTATTCCTATGGCATAGATAGCAGCATGAAAATTACTGGGCATATTGGTTCTGGTTTTTTTTTTTTTTTTTTTTTTTTTTTTTTGAGCTACATTGTCTCATGAGAGGCTCAAATGGATACTGCATGTGAATACGTTTTACATGATACCCAAAGAATAGTGAGGTTTGGACATTTACTTTTTTTTAAATGGCAGGCCTGCTTGCTGATCTGGAGAGTAGTAATATTACCTAATTTGTCAAGGTTGCAATGAAAAAGTGCTAGGGATCTTGCATTCTTTGCACATCCATGAAGAACATTCAGAAGCTTCTGGCAAATTTCTTCACCCAACATTCTGCAGGTCAAGATTTGGGGTGGGCTTAGCTGGATGGGTTCTGCTGATCTAGACCAGGCTTTGCTGATCTCAGCTGGAGGCTGATAGGCAAAGTGATTCAGCAAAGATAGCCCATCTCTGCTTCCTGAGTCTCTTATCCCCTTATCCCAAGCTTGTTTATATGGCTCTGGAAGCAGAAGACCCAAGGTGAGCGAAGAAGCAAGACCTCTGTAGGTCTAGGCCCAAACTACTACATCTGTCTTGAATCATTCCAGTGGCCAAAGAAGTCATAAGCCAGCCCATTTTCAAGGGATAATAAAAGACTCCAACTCTTAATAGAAGGTATGACACAGAATTGTAACAATTTTTGCAATTTAGTACAACATCAGATTCAAAAGGAAGTTGTTTTAGATCTAGACCCCTCTTAAATTCTCAGAGCCCCAGTTTTCCCAATGTGTAATAAGAATGGAACAATTTACCCTGATGTTGTAAGTCAAACTGCTAAGAAACAAAGGAAGTACCCAGAACTGTGCCTGATACATGATGTGTGCCCTAAATAAAAGTAGATATTACTAAATCCCAAATCTTCATTTTCACTTTAATTCACCCACTCAGTTGTTCCAGATCTACTTTAGTAAGTATAATTGGAATTCAGAGGCATTTTCCATCTATGTTTCCTCTCTTCAAACTGCATGGTAGAAGAGTTTGCTGCTGGCTCTCAAGTAGGCAAAGGCACTGAGAATGTATAAAGAGGAGGCCATACACATGGGCACTTGGCATTCAGTGAGCTAGAGGGAGGGAGGGTGCCATGTTGAACCATCACAAGATGTGGAGACAAAGCCTCGTCTGTGTGACTTTGTAAGTATTTGCTGGGATTGTTCTCTGTGGAATAGATATAAAATAGTCTTAAGTTTCTTCTTGGTGAGAAGAGGAGAAGGGTAATCAGAATATGGAGATGGAGATGGAGATGGAGATGGAGATGGGCAGAGGACAGAGATGGAAATAAGTACAAAGATGGCAAAGATGAAGACTGAGATTGAGAAAAAGAAGGAGAATAGGGGAAAGAGTAAAAGCAGAAAGAACAGGAAAGAAAAAAGAAGGAAGAGGAGGAAAACCAAATGAGAAATACCATTCTTTTTAGCCCAATCCTGTATTTACAACTATGATAAAACATGCACTCTGTTTTATAGCGTAGGCCTAAAGGGGCAGTAGGAACACAGAACTGGGCTATTTTGAATGTTCATGAGTGTGTGGCCTCATCTCATGATTAAATAAGTGCTAACTATTCTCTAATTTTAGCACATATCTTTTAAATGTCAAAAGACAGATTTTGCTGCAGCCCCCTTTCCTAGCCCTCAAGATTTGAGTCACGAGGTAACTTTATTCTATGAAGAAATTGGCAACGAATAGAATAAAAATGCAGAGGAATTTTTTACAAGTTAATTTTAATATATTTTTCTCTCCCAGTTCACTCTACTCAAATAGGGAGCAAAACATATTTTCTAAACTGAGATGATCAGATGAGAGGAAAGGAGAGAGAGAACTGTCCTTAGAGACAGGAGTACTGGAAATCAAAGAACTGTCTGTTAGGGAATTCAGGGAAGATCCAGGCTCATAAAATGACTGGAGGTAGATTTTAGGTCTTTCAGAAAATAGAAGGCAAAAGCTGTAACAGAATGTGCCACACATTATGTGGTGACCATATGTTATCTACTGTGTACCAGGTGGAACCTACTATGTGATACCTACAGTGTGACAATAAAAGCCATAGTTGATGATGACATAATGTTAGTTTGTCTTTAAAGAATCTCACAATTTAGGTAGACTTAAGAACAAATGATTACAATTAAATGAAATCAGATCTAAATACATGAATGCAGTTGATAGAAGTTACAGGAGCCTTGCTTTGGGAATTAACACCAGAGCTAAATCTTGAACAAGTATGAATAAACCAGATAAAGAAACAAATAGCGACATAACCTATGACAAGGAAACGTGAAACTGCAAGGTGACTGAGTATTTGGGTATAAATTTGGAGACTGGAAAGTTAGGTAGCAGCTAGTTATAAAAGATCCCATTTGCCATAAATTAGAATCTGCTTTACAAATATCAATCAAGAGGTGGCCCATAATGAAATTTTTAACCTCATTCCATACCATGGTGGACTACTGAGCAGTGGTCTACTAGCAACCCTGTGAAGCTTATTCGCTGCTTAGGGTTGTCAAAGATTTTTCACAGAAGAAATTTCTTACTATCTTTTTATAAATAACTAAAATTTGGAAGTCCTCTTAATATAGTAGAAAACAGAAACATATATTGTGAGTCAACTCTGGTTAAGATAAGGCCAATTAGAACATTTTACATAACATAGTAATTTGATGACCATTGTTATTTAAACCTAAAGCAAATCAACATTATTAATTCCAACTTTCCAATTTAGAGTCCACCCTTTCTTCTTGTGTTAGTAGGCACAGCACTTGACACACTAGGTGCTCCATAAAATAATGGTGTGGAACTAAACTTATCTGTACTTCCAGGAATTAAGTTAAACATTATCTATCTATCTATCTATCTTTCATTCAAACTTTTGTTTATTTGAATAAATTAATTCACTTAGCATTTATTGAACTCTTAACAGGTTCCACAATGTTAATTGCTGGGGAATTATAAAATGAGTAAGTAGCATATACTTTTAAGGAACTTTGTCTAGCAAGAAAGAAGACATGTGTATGCATATCTATGTGACATGTATGAATATCTATACAACCAAGATTCATAGTTTGATAAATTCTAAAAACCGCTGAGGAAGTACAAAGAAGATATGTTTTTTTTCAGTCTAATTATTTGAACTCAGCCTTGAAAGAGAAGCAGGGATTCACCTAGCGGTCATCCAGTATATGCATAGTTTCTTTAATGCTGCACAGTACTTCATGTTTTTATCAAATCTTGGTTAAACACTATAGCCTTGCTTTCCCTAGACCTCATTCTGCACCATAATCAACAACTGACTAGTGATCCATTGGTGTGTTTTGTAGCTTGTTTTATTCACTAACCATGATTGTGGGAGCTTTCACATATAAAGGAGAAATCCCTTGTCACCCTGGGTACATCGCAATCATAATCATAATCATCTATAAACCAGTTACACTCCACCCCCTTGCCTTCCTTCCATTCTCTCTTTCTATTCTTTCAGTACTACTTGTGCATCTAAGGCTACCATTTCTATCCCACAACAAGACTTTCACCTTGTCTTATCTGAGGTGAAATCAGTTTTTCAGCTATAGTAAGCACACCACTGGAAATGTGTCACTGCTGTTCTGCCCTCCCCAGCAAGCATTTTCAATGTTTTTCATCACAAAATAGTTATGTGTTTCAGGCTTTGAGCAACATCTGAGTTTCCAACAGCTGTGTTTTGCATTGTCCTCATTTTGTATAATTAAGAAAAACAGGAAGCCAATCACTTAAGTAAAGCTGACCCTCTTCATTCTGCAGACCCGAGGAAGGACTGCATCAGGGTTTTTTATAGTACAGTTTTTACACAATTTATCCTGCAATCCGCTGGAAAGTAGAACAAGGGTAGAGGAACTGTGACAGCATGGTGGCCTTCCTCTTGACTACAAACAGCTGTGCTTTTCTGAAGCTACACAGTCCTGTTTAAACACACTTTTCTTACATAATCAGTTGTCAATTCAGTTTGTCACATCGTGACGGAGGATTTCCTCTGACATTTTTTATAGCAACTCAAATCTTTGTGGGGAAGGCAGTGACTTCTGCCGTTAGTGCTTAAATCAGTTAGGTTCCTACATTTTACCCCTAGGTCCGACTCACATGAGTGAAACTTCATTGAAAATCACCAGACCAGAGAAGGATAATTTCTCTTCTGAGGAAATCAAAAAAGTGTTTGACACCAATTTTTGTAGATAATTGGGAATTCGTTTCCAAGGAAACCCTAATGGCCATTTGAATTTACTAAAGACTGCAACCAATAGTAAATACTTGATTTAAACAAAAAGCTTCAGTTTCTACTTGAATAGAGCTTCATTTCCTTAGATATAGCAGAAAAATAATTACTTCATCACTTAAAAGTTCATATAGAATTAGTGGTTATATTAGGGTTCAGCATTACTCAATCCATTGAACATTCATTCAGGAAATCATATTTGCTGATGCTTAGTATTGAGATGGAGAATTTGGAGATATTTAAAATGTAGTCCTTGTCTTCAAAGAGTTCATAGCTTATAGGGGAAGCTGACGTGAGCACTATTAAACACAATCATGTGTTACATGATCTGTGTTCTGTTCTCATAAGCACCTGTTTTGTGATTAGTCTCACCTTCTACATAAATTTGAGCTAGAGCATAAATCCTGTTAAG